CAATAAACCAACTCTATAGCAGATTCTAAGTGATCAAGGGCTTAGGACGTTCCAATTCAGCCCATTGCAAGGGTTCCACCAGTAGTGGGCACTCATGCAACGTAATCAATGACGTACATCCGAGTGAACGAGAAGGAGGGAAGTTTGCGAGTGAAGGGCATAAAAAAAACGGACTGGAACACAGCCCAACAACAAATCAGAGATGCACCGGCGTCTTATGTTTATGGAGATGAGAACTAAAAAACTGCCCCGGAACAGCTATCAGCGTGGACTGTAGGCATCGATCACATTATCATTGCAGAGTGCATATTGAGTCAGTAGCCTAACCTCTCCGCTCGGATCGCAAGTGGATTTCCCTCACTATATGAGTGAGCGAGCGCCGCCGGCGCGTCCAGTTTTATATCAACAAAACTGGATGCTCTCTCTCTCTCAGATATTACACAAGTGCGCGTTATGCAGTGTGGGCAGTGGGCACCGACCGGCAGAAACATAAATCTGCACCTATGGCATGGACGAAGAAACAAAACCTTGTCAGAGCCGAAGTGTGCTTGCTGCGCGTCTACATTTGAAATAACGAACTTGAACGCGCAAAAGACGCGATGTGAACGGCTATGTCATGTGCGGGGCTCTGTTTTTATGATGAGAGGAGAGGAAAGGTTGAGAAAACACTCCAGGTAAAATTTGAAATGTACCAGGTATATATATAGTTGATAGGCAGTTAAATGTGTTGGTTTACACACAAAGAAATGTGTAAGCTTTTAATATGTCCAAGAATAAAATGATTAATTTACTTAACATGTTAAATTTGATTTACAGAACTTTTTGTGCTGTTTTCTCAGTTTAGACTTGAATAAAGAGAGAAAACTTGCACTTAACCTTTTCACGGGCATTTTGTTTTCATAGTTAGACAGATATATGGTCCCGTTATAGGATTGTCTAGCAATATATCGATTATCACAGAATCGCTGTATTCATGATATTATCGTATCGTGAGCCATATATCGTGATTTGTATCGTATTGAGAGTTACCCTGCGATTCCCACCCCTAGAACTCACCCGCTGATAATGCCATTTGGATATCCCAAGTGCTCAGCAAAAGATTCCTGAATAGACACAAAATAGACACGTTCAGTACATCTGATGCCATACAAGTAGAAATAGACCATGGTACTGTTAATTGCTTTATTTTGATTGTTGACAAATGTTTTAAGGACCAACTCCATAGCTATGGAGTAGTTTTATGTCTTAAAGAAACATACAAAAAATTATCCATACAAATAAAATCAGTGAGGTCCAATGTTTTTTGGACGCTTTAAAATATCTTCGTGTTCCGCAGAATCATACAGATGTATAATGACAGAACTTTCATTTTTGGGTGAACCTTTATGGTCACGTCCACATAAATCCAGATATATCTGACAACAGCGTTGTCATTTCGAAGGGCTCTCTGTCCACACTAGTGTTTTTGAGCATTTTCCAAAAGTTGCTCATCCTCACTGACACGTCTGAAAACGCTTAAATCGCACTGCTGCAAATTCAGAACATGTCATAAAAGCCCACTGAGATGATACCAAGAGACCAGACATAAAAGTTCTCACACTATTCTCCTGACACAACCATTTTATTACTAAATATCCCACCACTCACTGGTGCGTCCAGGTCTCACACAAAATTGTCATTCATCTAAAATGCAAACGTCATAATTGCTAGTAAATATTCTATCATCTTTGCAGGAATATGAATATTGTAGAAAGTACCATTTATCTTTAGCGACTCTATGTAAGTGGCACATCAATGCTGACACAACCTTATTATATCTGAACAAGTTTTTGCTGGACGATTGAGGCCAAAAAAAGATTGAGGAAAAAAATGCATTTGTAAATTTATCCGGATTAATGTGGACGTAGCCTTAGTGTCATACATTTTAACTCATGTATTAGAAATGCCCTGATGTGCATTTCAGTGTACTGAGACACTGTTGCGATACCTCAATGTGCTGGAACATGTAGGGATGGTTACAGATCTTCTTCAGCTGCATTATGGTGTTCATTAAGGTCTTGGCTCCTCCTTTACCCTGTGGAAACACATCAAGGTAAAAATTACTGAAGCTCTGCTCTAATCCGCACAGCAGTGTAAAAGTGAGTTAACAGCCTCTCTTTATACCTTCTTGTCTTTCTCCGAGCCGTCAGTGAGCAGGATGCCTTTGCCCTGCATGTGCCTGTACAGAACCTTCTGGATGGCTGACATGTCACATTTGATGACATACTCCACCTGTGAGACAATCCATCAACATAACCTGAACTGCATGACATAGAGGCTTCAATCAAACTTTGTTTTTAAGATGCTTTTCCAATTTTAGAGGAATTTGACAATTTTGTTATTTTTTCTTTTATTTTTTTTTTTTTTTTATTAAAAAAAAAACAAATATAT